GTTCCTGCTATGTCGTGAAGAAGAGGAAATTACTTTAAACAAGGGGATCAAACCCTTGTTTAAAGGATAAGACAGGTTTTATTCAATAGTTTAACATGTTCCAAGATAATAGTCCATCTCTCATTACTTTCTGACTTCTCTTCGTTGTCTGTGGCTCTTAGTTCCTCAGTGCCTTAAACAGCTGGTCACAGTTGTTTTTCATAAACGAGTAGTAAATATTAGATCTGTTGAGGCATTTGGGGCAGCAGGACGGTGTATGTGGGGCTGAGTCTGAATAAACTACGGTGTGTGTTCGTGGTGATGAAGGAACATGTCACACAGTGCAGCAGTCACTCTCAGTGAGTGGTTTTTATTGTCCTTGGACAACAGTGGAGCTCTGTATGGCTCAGAGGAATATCAGGCTTTAATATAAACACAATGGCTATTAGGATACATTCATTGTTGTGGTCTTTCCATTGGATTTGTTGGCAATCAGAGAAATATGGAATATCACCAGACTTATCCTTTTATTATAATGTGAAAAAAAGCAAATTAAAATCAGAAAATACGTAGAGCAAGTTTAACTGCAAAAATGCAGTTTTGTCTAACCAAATTAAAAGATTTCCTTAAGGAACATTAGAGCTACATGGTTCCACTAAGATATTTTAGACTGGTCTGTATAGTTAGGCCAGATTTTACGGTTTTACTTAACTACAGATTTTCTCACAAACTGTTCTAGTCGCAAGACCTGGACACATTTGATTCCTATACGCTGTTGTGGCAGAAAGGGGGCAAAATCAAACCTGGAGTTCAACTTTGGTGAACTTTGGCACACAAATTTGAGTTGTTGATCATTAGCAAACTGTCTTAATAGGGCTGACCTTTTTGAGGGGACGGAGAACTGGACAGTCCAAAATAGAGGAAGCTACAGTGCTCATTGTTTCTGTTGCATCATCCACTATTATTCAACCACCTCTGTTGGAGTAAAAAAAACTGTTCCACAAAACAGCACTGGCGACAGTTATGAGACTGGAGTTTTGAATAACCTGTGTGAATTAATTGTCCCTTTAGTGACCAAGCTAACGAGCTTGCCAAATTTCAGCTTGGAGAGCATTATTTTCAGTCTTCAAAAACTTGTCATAGAACGAAATGGTGTACAACTATGAACAAAAGGCCACCACCTACTGTATTTCACCTGGACAAGGGAATGTCGCTTTGTGGTGTGACCGCTACATAAAGCCTACTCCTGGCCTAATGTATACCCTTTCTGGGAGAGTTGGGTGTTTAAGAGGGTGATGAATATTTTTAACATCTTGACAAACAACAAAGTTTTTTGCCATAAATGTTCACCAAACTGCATGCTTTGTGATATATTTATCAATGTGTTCTTAATAGTGTCTGCTCTCTCATTGTGCATTATTAGCTTGACAAATAGCTGAATTGGTTTTCTGTTACTCATTAGGAAACACCTGAGAATTGTGTTTTCTCAGGCAACAATGAGTCATATGGGAGATATTTTCTGTTTCAAAAATAAACTACATGCAGGATTCGGTTTTCTGCTGTTGGCAAGGTTCCTCTCATGACGTCTGTAAAAATGTTGTCAGGGCTGTTTTAGCAAAGACACTGCATTTTGAACCACTGCCTCCTTTAGAACACACGATATAATAAAAACATCCATTATGCTAAACAGTGAGTGAGCATGTAGAGAAGCTTGTTAGTAAAGTAGGTATGTACACTAGAGACATGATGGCATCTCCCACCACTGGTGTTTCAGTGCATCACAACAACAAAAACACTCAGTTATTGTGATAAATCAGACAATTTTCTCAAATGAAATGAGCTCACGGTTTAATCCCTTGCGATTCCAACAAAATACAGACTCTTTCAGTTTCTACAAGCAGCCTCAGTCTACTGACATGTGCACGCTCACTAACGAGGGCTAACACAGGTGTGAGAAATTTATCTCATTAAGTCCAGGAAGTAACTATTTTAAGAAGTGTTTGACGCAATTGAGGGGAAACTTGACAACAGTTAGTTTTGGCAAATTAGGTGCGCTAGATTAGATTAGTTTGTAGGATTAAAAAATAATTCAGCTTCAGAGGTTGACATGTTTTGTGGGAAATAATTAAAGCTTCCTTGCTTAAGTTAGATGACTCTGCATTTCTGGTATTATTATGAGTCTTACAACTTTTATGAGCCGATCAGGGGTTAAACATAAGCAAGTAATCTTTAAATTATTCAATTCCCCAACATTGGAGATGCAATTACCTGACTTAATGAAATGTGATGTGGTCATTTTAAAAATTAATTCCAAAGGTGATGAGCTAAAAGCGCTCACTTGATGAAAAAGTGCATCAAAATGTCAACAGAAACTTCTCAAAAAAGAGGAATGTAGTTAGTTTACTACTAAGTTAATGTAGTTTAACAGTAACAGTATAATATCATTATCAGCTATCCATGGGTATACAATTTCTGTTTCACATGAGAAGTAAATTCTGCCATTTCTGGAAACCATGATCCCTGAACTCTGCAGCCATCCAACTGTTTGCTTTAACATTTTCTAGACTCGGTTTAAACAGTTTTTAAGCTTGAAAGTGAAATGATCAGCCTCAAAATGTTGACTGGTAACTAGGATAACCTATTAAGAGTGTTGACAGGTGTTGAAAAGCTGTCTCAGTCCATAGGAGTCTGTGGTTATTGAGATTACTTGCAAACAATGAAAGTCTTCAACATTGGAGATAAAATGTTTTCACATGACATAATCATTATTTTATCCCCCCCCAAAAAAGCATTTAGCTACAAACTAAGACAGACATCAGTAATTTGGTTGGATGACACTGCATTTTTGCCATGATTAAGGGTTGTAACAGCCTTTATGAGCCTGTCAGTGGTTAAACATTTGTCTTAGCCCACGAAGGAGCATTTACAACTTCAAATGACAGAATGAATTTCACCATAATTAGTGAAACAATATTTTCACCTGATCTGATGAAATGTGACTTTTTGGGAAAATAAAATAAAACATTCCTTATTATATTAAATGACTGCATTTTTGACACTATTAAGCTTGTTGAGAGGCTTCAGTGAGCCCATTAAAGTTTTGTTTCAGTCCATGTGTATATGAGTGTATAGTGAAGAAAACTTAACACATCCTCAGACCTAAATCACAGAATACGTCGTTGGCCAATCCAGACGAGAGCGTTTCCCGTACAACCACAGAAGATAGCACTGAACTATCTTGGTACGATGCAAACTAACAAACATCTGAAGTACGACCATTTCCTAAAACCTTGTTGGTACCCCCGTGGTTTGAACTAACATATTTCAAACTAACATGTTCCCAGGTGTGTTCGTCTGTTTTTCACAGCAGGAAACTCACAAAACGGTGTCATATTCTGCGTGTGACATTATTATTCTAACTTATTATTTAGGCTTTTCATATAAATAACATATAACCTAATCATTTTATTTAGCCTAAATATAGGTAACTTTTTTTTTATAGCAATAGCAACATTTTAGAAGAAAAAATTAAGAACTATTAGCGATTACAATTAGGAATATAGGATTTATCTGCCTTCATTTCAACACTTTAACACTATTTGAATCACTTGGCCACAAAACAATGTTAAGATCTTGAGAATAGCTCAGTGTGATAAGTGGCTGAGCCTGTGAATTTTCTCTATTGAGACAGACACGGGTTTGAATCCCTTTCTCTATTTATCTTTGTTATAATGGCAACGACAGAACTTTCAGGGATTTATTCATTACAGTACTTTCAAGAATTTTATGCTGTCCCTTTTTATATTTATGTTTGTAATGAAGACTAGAGAACACCCATCTTCCTCATAGGCCTAGAAATTTATACATGAAATATTAAAAGTCTTGTCTTTTCATTCTCCGTTTTGTCTTTTAACCTTTTACTGGGAGAGTAATATTGCATTAAGTTATAGTGAACAGATGGGTAATCTGTGAGAAAAACACCAGCTGTTTGTAGATCGTACTTGAGATGTTTGTTAGTTTAACTTGCATCGTACCAAGATAGTTCAATGCTACGTTCCGTGGTTGTACGGTAAGCGCACCCCTGGTTAGGTTTACGCACCTTTACTAATTGGTTTGGTTTAGGAAAAAATCATGGTTTGGGTAACACGTGAGTGAAAATAAGTCAAAGTTGACTTTTGGTTCAACACGGGACACGTACAGGTGAATATTCTGTGTTTGACCAGAGACGTTTCAAGAGAAGAGACGCCACTTTAAGAATCCTGAATATAATTCCATGGGGAAAAGCCTGTAACGCCAAAGATGGTGGTTGTATGCACATAGCCCGCCCCTCCAGAAAGAAAGCCAATCCTCTGCTGTTTAATAGCCGAGCCGGGGAAACATATCAAGCCAATTGTGTGGTTCCATTGACATAAGTGCACAGTTGAGGTTTGTGACCATTTCAAGTGTTGTAGTGGCAGCAAGGAGCAGGTCTGTGACCAGATCAGATGCACTTCAAAACTGCATGGAAGAGGAGGATAACATACGAAGGCACCGGATTATCCAAGGGAGTTACGCATTTTATATTGACCACATGAAGCACTCTGGATGGAGCCATAAATAAAGTCGGTGTTGTGAAATCGTCTGCAGGCATTGTAGAAGTAAAAGCTGTGTGTAAAAACGCTTTTTAAACCTCAACAAACGTTTTCAGCATTTTTTGATCAGATTTTACAGGTGATTCTATACATGCAGTTTTTATGTCCCGGTGACCATTCAAATTGCAGTTATAACTCTCGTTTTATTCGTTTAGAAAGGGCCTGATCTTGTTAGCCCAGAGGCGTTACCAAGATGGTTGCTGAGGGGCAGGCCTTGCCTATATAAGGACTTTGATTTGAATCATCCACATTGGTCTCCTCCCTACCTTTGTCGCTCTTTATACTACCTCACCTGATATCCTCCTTAGCATATTTTATTGTAATGTATATTTTGTGGGACATTTGGTCAAATTGTGCATGATTGCATAGTTAAAGATCAGATTCCTCGTCTAAATATGTAAACAGCTCACATTGTCACCGTTTTATTTTTGGATCAGATTCTTTAAATCACATTAAATGCAGTGGAAGTGATTCTGATTGAGGAGCCCTGTTACTGGTGCCATCTGTGCCAGCAGGCTCATGTAAACCATCCTTCCTTCAGCACATTGCTAAGGAGATCTAATAACCCCGGGTTTTCCAACACCATGTGTCTCTTAGTGTTAAATCTCAGCGTTCTCGAGCTCACTAGCCTTCAGCTTCCACCTCCACCTCCGCAGCTTTGATTTCCCCTGCAGGCTGGCTGCCGGCGCGCCGTCATGCTGTGTTCAGGCTTCAGGTACAAGCCTCCCTCGCTTCTTGATATCGCCTCATACCTGTAATAAGAAACATGAAAAGCCACGCTTCACACTGTGTCCTTGTTGTGCTAAGTTAGTGGAACATTCCCACCCTTCTGAAACAAGAGGACTGTGATCTTGAATTCTTCAGTCAGGATGAATCAAGATGAAATGCGGTCCTTCAGTAATAAGCTCACCAGGAGGAGGAATGTAAAAATGCCCTTTTCTTTTACAAATGCTAATTAGCAGCGACGTGAGCAGCTCAAATTCTCCTCGACTGTAAAGCCATGGAAAGAGAGTGACAACATTTCTTTACTGCTGAGAAAAGGAAAAGAAAAGGATAATCACACTCTGCAGTGGCTTCTGTGTGGAGATGCAGGGAGCAGATAAACACAGCCCCCTCGGGTAAGGTACACAGACAAAGACGGATTTGCCTTATCTTCTTTAACAGTGACATACGTGAGAGGTTGATTTAAGAAGTTCTGAGATAATTAAGGCCTCTGCCTGATGTCAGGCTGACAAGACATTGATGAACACATACCTTAAATCCTGAATCTTCACACCTTTTTATATATTTCATTTGATTCATTGTGGAGCAGCATTTCTATGTTCTGGATCATTCTCAACTGTAGCACAGGCACAACTGAGCTTAAGTTGTGTGGAGCGTGTTTGCAAATCTGATCTGACATACTATTTCAGAATAAAGACTGTGATTCGGTGCTAAAAAAAAAGATTACCACAGGGTTTTACGGTACGAATGTTTTCAGATGACAAGCGTGAAAACAGAAGCATGAAAAGGGTTTTAAACTTTTTATTTAGCATTATTTAAAAGACTGGAACAAACTGAGAATATGTTTTAAGATTTTTTTTTTTTTCTCTGTGGAGGAACAAAGTACAAACATTAAAAGACACCTTTAAATCCACAGGAGGGTGAGAGTTTAATCCTCAAAAGATGGAGCGTAACTTTTACACTGTGAGAGCCCTTTAGTGTTTCCTGAGCTTTGTCCCATATACTTATTTGCACATTGTTTTTAAGAAGTCAATGCACTTTATTGAAGGCCAACATCCTGTGCTCGTGACTGCATTAACCTGATTGGGGGCCCCAGGCAAAAATGAACTGCTATGCCCCTATTAACATCATCAAAAAACAACATCATAAAATATGCATGTAAGCACGGTATTATGTAAAATACTGAAGCTCTTAAAACCCACAGTCAAGATCCTTTTTGTTTTGTTGATATTATGCTTTAGTGCTGCGTATTCCCATGTGTGGCAGTGTGAGTGTAGTTTGGCATCAGCTGCAGGTGGAGAGAGGGTGCAGCGGTTTGCAGGAAGGTTGAGGCACCTGTGAGTATTTGGACTGATTGTTAATCTGCCAGGTGGGTTGCAAGTAACATGTGCTTAAATACCACAGTGAAGCTGGGTCCCAAAGTGGAGAACTGATACACAAGCTGGCGGAGGCAAGTGCCAGGAGGAAAAGGAAGTGTGCATGCAAGAGAGGTGCGCTGTGCCAATGGATGTATCCGTACCCGCCAGTAGAGCAGCTTTGTTTTTTTTATGTTGTGTTTTGTTGAAATTAAAGACTGTTCGCCTGCCAGTGTGTGTCTGCTCTGTTCATCTGAGCCCTCCAGTAACACTTGTTTGTCACACCATCTTACCAAGCAAAGTTATAATCATTTCAATTACCACAAATCAACTCCTATACAGGAAAGCTGGGACTTTTGAGGGGCCACTATAGGTCCGGGGCTGCTAACAGTGAGCACTGAATAACAATAAGCTTTTTACCCCAACAGTTTTACACTTTTGGCCCCTTAGCCTGCAACCACCATCTGCAATTTTTGCAGCTCACTATCCCAAGGAATTAATTCCATATAAGTGGATTCCAAACTTCATGATTTACTGTAGGCCCAGTGCCAACATGTAGATGTAGGAGTAGGAGTAGTAGGATGACAATAAGGGTGTGGAGGATAGTGTAGTGGATGAGCAAATTTTAAAAGCATTGACACTGGACCTACAGAAGCTTTGTCATCTGGCAAAAGCATGGCTCCTCTATTTCTGTTTGCACCTAATTGTGGGAACCTGCGTTCATCAAAAGCACACCTAGCAAATCTAGTTTCCATGCATAGACATTTTGAGTACAAATAATTTTGATGCTTTTCCAATGTGAATAAACTAAAAACTGTTGAATTAGAAATGTACAGCATAGTGCATACCGTAAAACTCTGAATAACAGCCCAGGCTTTTGTTTGCTAAAATCACTGAATTGACCCTGCCTTTATTTGGGACAGGCATCCACATGGGACAGACAGAATTAGACTTTGGGTCTTGTTGTTTCATTGTGGAGAATCTAACCAATCTAACGATGTGTAGCATGTCCAAACTGACATATTGATCATAGGTTTAAACATTAATGTTTGTATTAACTAAATCTAAGCAGCTTAGAAGCAGCTAAAGCGGGCGACCCCGCAGGGTTTAAGAGGTTTTATACATCCAAAGAACTTCTATAAAAACCAGACCAGGCGTTTAATTAAGGCAGGCGTTTATTTGTCAAAATGTGTTCCCACACCAGGCCAGTAAAGGAGGTAGGCGGCTATTTGGGACTCTAACTATTAATTGAAGTTTTACAGTAATTGAGGACACCTCTTGTCTTGTCTGTGCTCTCATTCTCGTTAAGATACACTATCATCAGGAACGGATGACTCCTCTGCCGGATGTTCCCCATCATTATAAGCTGGTCATTGTCTCTCCTGAGTGTCTTTGCTACTTTGGTTGGTTTTACACATATGTTGTCCCACTCATCCCTCACATTGACATTCTCATACTTCACATTATGTTTGTTCATCTTCTATTTTGTCAAATATACATTCAGTTAAATATGTGTCTCCTTTTTGTCCCTTTTGTTGAGTTGCGGTGTGACAACACATTATTTATCTTGTTTGAGTATTGTTCTGCAAGAAAACGCTCAGTCATTGGAAAAACTTGAGAAAAGAGTTGGTTATTTTCCATTTGTCAGCCTTCACCTTTCACTAATGTTTATCTGAACAGAACAAGCCGAGCTTTGTGCCCTCACCACCAAACTCAATATAAACAGAAGGAAAGAAGACAACCCCCTCATAACAGCATTCAGATCACATTTTTTAAGTGAATACAAACAGCGTGGCTTGCTGTTTGTGTCTGCTGAATGAGAAATGTCAGCTTGCAGTACAAATGAATGAACCCAGTCAAATGATTCTGAAAAGACACAAAAATCCACAGGGAAGACGACTGTTTCTGAGCCGGGGGAAGTTTTCATTTATCACGGGATAGAATCAGAAATAGAAAAAAACAGGATGTGAGACTATTTCTATTGAGGAGAAATGAATGGAGACTTTAGCTGAGGTAAGGGTTCCTAGCTGTGGTGATGAATTGCTGGAGGCTTATTATCATCGTACAGTGTGGTGATATAATCTCAGCCTTTCCATAAATCCCTGGCTGTGTCCTTGGTTTAAATTTACTATATGCTACAAAAACTTTTACTGCTGGAGAGCAACACAGGGTATTTTATTTTTTTAAATTCAAAGTGGATTCTGCATGGTCAAGTAAAGGCTTTACGACGGGCGTACACATGAGAACCTTTGAGCTGTTTTTATTCTGTTGATTTTGGCTTTTTGGTCCCCAGTATTGACTGGCAGTTGAATTTCAGCTGTGGGCTTGTAGCTGAAGGTTATAACACCTGAAGTTGGCTATCTAAGATCACTTAAGTGCCCTTGAGCAAAATCAAACTCTGAAGTCGCTCCCTGTGCTCTGACCCTCTCAAAGAAATCCATATGTATGTAAATGTGTGATGTATAGACGCAATAAGCATATTCAGACATTAATTTGGACTCTGGTAACTTGCGCTGGGAGTTAATTTTAATTAATAAATTATTGACAATAAAGCCTTTCTTGTATGGGATTCACAAAAGGTAAATCTGGAATATATTTTGTTTATTTAAAAAAAAAACATGGAAAAGAGTAACATGTATTATATAAACTTGTGAAAGGTTGTTAGTCGCCCAGCCATGCTTTCTTGTTCCACCTGTTTTGTTTTTTTTGTCACATCTCAACTCAGTAAAATCCTAACACACAGACATGACCACATATTGATATAATTCAGTGTGACTTACTCTTCCCGTGGATATCCTTATCTCTGATGTCCATGGAGAATAAATGTCCATAAATCCGCTTAGAAAAAAAGACACTGCCTGAGAGTAATCATGTTTTTAGGTTAAAGAATTGCTAATAGCGGCATACTTGTAATGGCGCCAATTTGTAACTTGTAAATGTAAACAAACAGGCTAAGAAAAAAAAAAATGGGACTGCCCATCTCTCTCTCCATTTTCGCATAAATGTCAAATTTCACACCGACATGATTTTTTTTTTTTTAAAAGAGAGAAGCAGAAAGGACAAGCAGTTCTTGATATTTAAAAATTAATGGTAAAGGTTTACATTTTCCAACCAAACCAAATTTTAACCATCTTTAACAAAAATAAAATAAGACTTAAATAAAACTAAAGGAGCAAAGAGAAAAGACATGATCTGTACCCTCAAACACAATCCTGAAGATGTATAATCACCTAGAATATGTAAAAGATACCCCTGTGAGTGAACCATTACTGGTTAGAGACCTTATTGATTTGTTGTAATGGACAAAAAAATAAAACATTTAAAGTGAAATCAGTATAAATAACAGAATTTCTCTGGTCTCTTCTCTGATACATTACAAATAGGGTTTTTGTCTTTGAGAGGTCGACTTTCAAGATCTTGTTCATCAGAGAATCTAATTAAACATTTGATGTATGTGTGGTCTCCATATTGATTTTTCTTTCAGCTGGAAGAGGATCAGTTTTGCTCATGTGAGTGCCTCTCAGGAAAAATACTAAACAGAATCTATGGAGATGTTCAATGTATATCTTCAAGTCAAAGTGCCTGGCACTTATAGCAGTGAAGGTCTCGAGCACTCTCTATTGCTTTCAAATTCCCCTGCAGAGCAACTTTTCTCATGCAATATCATCCCTGCTGAGTCAACACACATGTAGGCATGATTTAATTTTTCCCTCCTCTTTGTGTCTTTTGTTTGGGAAAGAAACTTAATTAATTTTATTAATTTATAAACTCCTGGACTTTAATAACTCCTGTGTTTCTGCTCATGTTCAAATCTTTCTGCACATTCAAATCCACCCATGTACCTGTCTTCTGGCATATAAGAGCATTAATAATATTACGAGAATAAAGTTGAATTTAACAACTGCCTGCCTTTATTGCTCTGCTGACGTGGTAGCATCCCCTTCGGACTGTCTCCGATAAAGTGTAGCTCACAGCCGCTTTAGTGGGAAGCATCCTGGAGCTATGAGACAGAGCTAACAGAAAGACTTTTAACAAGTCTAAATAACTGGAGACTGCCAGGAAATTCTAAATCATGCACACATGACTCAAAGTACCTGTTATTATGACTTAATTACAAAAACAATTCTGATGATTACTTAAGTCTCAAAATCTTGGATTACTATCGTTTTTTGTGGCCCTAATACTCTGTTGTAGTTGACAGGCTACTTTTCTGCCTTTGGTTTGTGTTACTCTCTCAGTAAAATGTGTGATCTACAGACTCTAACACTCACCAGATCAAACGTGACAAACCTGCCAATTTGTAGAACCGTCCAGGTTTTGGCTTCTTTATAGATCAGCTTCTGAAGTTTTACTTGTTTAAATGCAGCAGCAGTAACGGCACAAGAACCACAACTGCAAGATTATGTAGAACTAAGAAATTACAGTTGTAAGAGACTCAGAGCTTTAAAGGATTTGAACAAATGGAAACCGTCCCAATTTTCCGAATACAGGCAAACAGAGTGCATTTAATCTCTTGACACATTATTGAAACAATATTTGCTGAAACGGCAATTTGATGGCTCAGGTTCTTACTAAAAGTAACCTCTAACTTTGAAAGTTATATTGAATATTTTATCCTCAGAACATGCTCAGGAATATAAAGAGATGCTGTACCAGGTTGCAAATACTGAAAACTTAGAGGAGGTGAGCTGTGGTGGCCTGTGGAAGCAAACAAGCTGTTTTTATGTCATCTTTTTGTGAAATTGCAAGAGCAACCTTTTATTTCTATGTGTGCACAACTGCACCAAAGACTTTGAGCTGGGTAATTGTGTTCAAGACTGGAAACAACGGTCTACAAGCTACTTCTCACTGCGCTGATTGTTTGCACTTGTCTTTACGCACTGTTTGGATGAGAAAATGGGCAACACCATGGAACAAGGCTACTGGGATTTTGTTCTCAGTTTGCAACACAGGAGAACAGGAGACATCACTTTAAACTAGAATATATATCGTCCGAGACACTGAGCAGAGTAAACACAAACAAAAGAGGAAGAGGCTAAATAACTGGAAAACACTACAAGAAGGAAAACCCTCTGGCAAACGCACTGTGTAGTAAATTGGAATTGAACTATAGGCAAATATCTACCACCTGCAAGAGTACAGGAACACATGTATCATGGCCTCCTGGCTGCTAACACGGGTTTGCATATTGAAGACATTGGTACACCGGTACGACCCCACAGAGACAAGACC